TAAATGTTGGCAGAATTCTTATATACTCAAAAGTAAGTTCTATGTACTTGGAAACATTTTGAGTAATAAAAATACAAAATACTCACTGTCTTTCTTAATACTGTTTTTTTTCACAGTGAATGCTATTCCCTAATGAACATTGTATACTGGCTTTTATTTATCTGAATTAGCATAGCATTTAAATGCAGCAAAACATCTAATTTTTCTTCTTTTATCCTCTAGCAATGGCGAGCCGGCAGGTAGACATCGCTACTCAAGGATGGTTCATTGGTCTTATGTGTGCTGTTGCTCTTCTGATCTTGATTTTACTGATTGTTTGCTTCATAAGGAGGAATAAGGGTGGCAAATATCCAGGTATGCTGTTTAACAGTGACAGTAAAATTCATCTCTTTGTAATCCATTAAGACAGATTTCAGGTTTACTGAAAAATTACGTTTGCTGCGGAGTTACATTTGCACTGTGTATATGGCAAATCAGTCATCATGTGATGGGCTTGGCAAGAGCAATCTGCATAATGGTAGAAAACCTCAATCTATTTAAGCGTAAGAGAAGTACCTCCTTCATTCCTGGAGAGTGGTATTACTGCATGACCTCTCTAGAGAGGTTTGAAATACCTGCATATTCCACTTTCAGAAGTGTAGTGCAGATGGGTTCAATCCACTAAAATGAGCTGAGTTGCAATTTATTTATTTGGTCAGAAAGTGTGGAAACATACACCTGATCATGGCCACTGCATTACTTTAAAGTACGGGGAATGTATTTCATAGGACAAATCTCTTCATATGTTATTTTGTCTCAAATACAAAGTACCTTCAGTTCCTTCCGAGAATCTGTATTGTCTTCAGCCTCTGCATTTCTGCAGCTAAGTCTGAAGTTACCATCCTTCAGTAAGACTGTTTTTAATTCTATAATTTTTTTCTTTATAAGAAGGGAAGGGTTTTTACTTAGTATTAGGTCTATGAATGGCCAAGTATATTTTATAATGTTTAATTAAAAATTGGAAGTATACAATGTATGTCTCCTATCAAAACTCTCATTCCTCCTGGTGTACATATTATAGAAGCCGTATATGTGTATGTATGTATTCGTGCATATATGTATCATACATATCTGTCTCCAGTCTTACATTTCTGTTTATATAGTAGGTCCATAGACTAAAGCTCTCTTGAAAAGGATAGTGGGAACCAGTTTGTGTAGTGTTATCAGAGAGGATCTCAGAGCAGCTGTTGAGGGATGAGTGTCTATGAACGAACTTCAGGTGAGCATCTAGGGACAGAAAGTTAAACGCGGAAGATTTATTCGAGAAGGAAAAAGAGTTTTGCTCAAGGAGGTTTTAACTGCTGGGAAAACTAGGCCTGGGAAAAACCCGGAGTGGGAAAAAACTCCTTCCCATGAAACTCTTTCCCTATTTTTCTGGCTGTCTGTTTTGAGAAGTTAACTCTCTGGTTGCAAGAAGAGGCAAAAGTTCTCACAGACATGATTGAAGCCCCTGCTGGGAGAGAGGGAGATCATAAAGCACAAGGGGGAACACAGCCTTGAAGTTACAAGCATGCAAAAGCTGTTTATATAAAAGCACTGGAATAGTTTTTTCTGGGCTGCTCTTTTGCCCATTGCTTGATTTAGCAGTGTATTTAGGATTTAGACCTTCGAAATAAGCTTTTCCTTAATACCCTAGCCGTGATTTGGTCATCTGGGTTTACCTGTGTTTGTATTAATTCTTAAAGCATCAAATGAGAATTTGATTTTTCATTTTCCTCTCCTAGCTCCATTAGAAAGTACAATTGCTAAGTTTCATGTAAAATCTTGACTTTCTGAAAAAATTCTGTTCTATATTACAGACTCCAAAGGTTTGGAAATTATATAAATATTCAGACTCTAGAATGCTTTTCTGATGTCACCTCAAACTTCTTGAAGCTGATACTTTTAATTTGGGCATGAAAAAGCAGGATGAACTTACAAAAGTACAAAAAAAAAATCTATGCTTTGTTTTAATTTCTCCTGCTTGTTTTGACCAATGTACTTCTGAAAACTAGTGTTAGTGAACACTAAGAACTTTACCTCTTCATAGGGGAATCTTTTATAGCTTAACATAGCATAGCAGATTATTTTTATAAGAAAATCATCTCATTAAATACAAGAATCCTACTCTGCCCAGTCTAACTGTTAAATTGTTTTATAGAAAGAGCAAAGATTTGTAGTAACAGCAAAAATTAAGCAAGGGAAGCTTCTGTTCCAACTGCCTATGCCCGTGAAGAAAAGACAGATTATTAAGGAACAGTGTTATGTAAAATTATATGACAGGTTGAAGACATCATCTTAGGTTTTTTTCCTTATATTTGAATTATTTTTAAAAAAATGAGATTATTGAGGATATAGGAAAAGTGACTCTCAGTGGAGAGAACTGAGAAAAGAAAATGAAAATTCAAAGATTGAAACAAGGGAAGTGATGGAACTAAAAAGAGTAGGGAGGACTTGAACCACCATCAAGAACAGGGCAAAACAGAGTTTTTGAGTAAAAATGTAGAAGGCAGTTGGATGCTAAGGCTGACATTACTTTGTGGATCCCTGATATGCCATTTTCTCAGCTTCTGCAGAATTATTAGCTGTAAGGTATTCATTTTTTTATGCACAGCTACATATGCATATACACACACATATATAAAGGTATACCTTGGATGTTTATAAGATTTCCAGATTCGGTATGTACTGGTGTTTATAGCAGTGACGTTATAGCTAATTTTATTTCTTGTCTCATTGCAAATGTACTGTTCCACAGGTAGTGACAAATGTGAAGCACAGAGTTAAGAAAATCTATGAAAATCAAAGTTATGAACTCTTTTTCATCATAATTTTAGCATGTCATCTTGATATTTCCTATGGTTTGTAGAAAGCAATCAATTACTTCAGTATGAAATTACAGCAGCCAGATACATCCCCAGGTGTTATGCCTCACTGCAATTATATACTTAGTAAACACTATCAGGAGTGATTCATATCCTCTTAAATAACAGCATATAAATTAATGATATAAAAACTAAGTGTGGAAATTACCAGATTAAAAGATAATATATTGTATATTGGGTTTTATAACTGTATCTGCTAAACAAGGGAAAGATTTGAGTAGTTGCCAGAGAAACAGAAATGAAAAGGCAAAGGGAAGAACCATAAAGATAATGCTTCAAGTCAGTATATTATTTTACTCCATGAACAATCATTATTTAGATGAATATGTGTCATCTGTAAACATCTGACCTCTCAGGTGCTAGTGGGTTTCTGTGTCAAAGTTTCTGTGCTACGTGTATTTTTGTACAGGGACAAGTTATATGCCTGGATTTATTCTCACCAGGGAACAATGACTAAACATATACCAAAGATTTGCAAGAGATACAATAGTGTTAAATTTAGGTTCCAGTGTGGGTGATTTTGCTTTGCTTTTGATCATGTTATAGAACAGAAGAAATTAACAGACCATGCCTGTTTTTTTCCATTATTAATAACTCTGAAAATACTGTTTAAAATTCCCTGGAGTCTTATTGTGTGAAATGAAAGCAGAAAATGTACAAACTGACAGTGAACTCAAGTGAATCTGATTCAGTTTTATCAATCAGTATGAGACGAATATCAAGAGGAAACACAGATCGTGGTTAAGTAAAACTAAATTATTCAGATATCAATAAACAATAGCTCTAATAATAATATAAGTAAATAAATTATTATAGTGGCATTTTTAACAAAACTTTAGTTCTAGAAATGAAAGGAAGAAAATGTTCTACTAATGCAAAATGACACACGGTATTTTATACTTGAATGAAAATAAAATTCTATAACTAATTAACAAATCTTTTTCTTCAAGAGAAAAAATGTAACACCCTAAGGTCCTATTTAAAAAAATTATTCAAACCATGTTCCTGTCAAATGTGATCAGTTTGAGAAATTAAGGACTTAGGGTTTTTCATCTTGCAGTTCCATGATAAATATTACCATTTCAAATATTTTAGTGAAGGAAAAGGAGGATGCACATGCTGATCCAGAAATACAACCTATGAAAGAAGATGATGGAACATTTGGTGAATACAGGTGAGCAACTGATGTGATTGGTCATGTTCACTGTTATGTCACACATGTCCTGTATATAGTATCACACTTATTAATTCAAAACTAACTTTTATTTTCTGTGTCCAAGATTCTATAACCAGTGTTATATAGAACTATAGATAGCATTTCAACCGCAGAATTAGAAAAGAAATTATCCAAGCTTAGTATAAGCCATCTACTAGTACAGGGTGAAATCCAGTTTCAAACACAATTGTCTTAAAGTGTGGAATCTTTATTTACAAAGCTAGCTTTCAGATAGTTCAAATAGATACAGTGTCCTTTCTGTTAGGGCACATTTAGCATTATGGTTTTTTGAAAATAAATTTCCAGTTGAAGCCTAGTAAAGACAATCTGCTGTTAAGTTGACTTGAAAACAAACGCATTTAAAACAGGTGCCAGTACTAACATCTAATCCAATAACAATGAAGTGATGTTATACACAGAGGTGAAGGCATGTCCTACAAGAAAAAACAAATCTCCCTTTCAGTTTTTCAGTATAAGATACATAGCAAGCAGCTTCAAAGCATGCAACACAGCTCCTATTCCTGATTCTCTTCCTTTATTGTAAATGCAATCTAGCCAAATCTCCTGGCATTACCAAAAGCATGCCTTGGCAAGTCTGTTCATGTAATGATTATGAGTATAGCTTATTTAATAATCAGCATTTTATTTGTTGTTTTTTGGTTAGTGCAGAAAATAATGTTATTATTTTCTAAATAGGTCAATATCATTATCTTCTACATGGGTGATATAATAGATTTTGTAGTGCATTTCTGTGTCATAAGCATTATAGAAGCCCTTTATTATTTTTAAGATTTGACATTTACAAATGTACATTGGAAAAAAAAAAGGTTTTTTTCAAGAAGGATCTATACTGTTGCCATAGCTTCTTCATAGAAGGGAAATGTACATCTTGATCTAACAGGAATAGATGTACAGTTCTGAATGCCAAAGAGCAGTTTCTGTTTATTTTCCCTTGATTGAAAAAATACAATACTCTGTTCTTACATTAATGATTTCAGAATAGTATTTTATTACAGTACATTAGTACATAAGAATTAATTAAATTCAGCTGATAAAAAGAGAAGTGTGAAGCAATGTTTGAAAGCAGAGATAAATAAGTACTGTCTAAGTTTTCCTGGGCATTCCAGTTTTCATTCTCCTTTATTGCACCACTGGTTTTTGATACTTGGAACTTCTAGCAGCAGAAATTGACCTTTGTACAGAATTGTACAAATGATATGACCTCACTACATCTTTTCTCAGGCCTGGAATAAGTATGGAAGTCTTTGTGAGACCTGTAGCAAGATTTGAATTTATGCCTCCATATTTAAGTGGCTTGAGTTAATCTATAGAATCATCTAGAGCTTTATAAATTATTTTATAATGCATTTATCCACCTCATGTCTGGTGAATATGGGTAGATGCATGCCAAGCTTTCAGACTTGTTAACATAAAAGAGCTCGTCCTATGTACCATGCTAAAACTCCTTCTAAAATGTATTTATGTGTAATTAGTCTATATTGGGCTTTCCTCTTTTTTCCTTAGAGACAGGGCAGCAGCAGCAACCAGTCAGATTACAGAAGATATCTTGCCACCCTCTCTGCAGCCCAGCATCACTGCAGTCACTCAGTTCCCAGTTTGTCTGCCTCACATGATGCAGTGCTTCTTTAAGGACAAAGGGTATAGGGTTTCCCTTGAAAAAAAAATGTAATTTTTGAAAGATCTAGGAATTCGAGTATTTTGAACTTTTTTCATCACTTCAGGTCCATGTCTGCTTGGACAGGAAAGAAACTGGACAAGGAAAAGAAAAGAAAAGGTAGCTGTGCCAATTCTCCTGAAGCAGACCCTGTCTGTACCAAAGCAAAGTCTGTGAGATCTGACAGATCCAACTTCTTCAGAAGGTCAGGGGATCAATACTCCAGCACCAGATCAGAGACCTCCTACACCAGGAGGAGGGCTAGGCAGTCTTCAGAGCTGACAAGGGTTAGTTGTGTCTCTGCTTCCCTCTGCCAAGAGGAAAAGAGGTCAGACGAATGGAAGTACAGGCATGGCTCTAGACATCATGCTTCTGAGCAAGTGATAATGGGGTCGGAGAAGGGCTCAGATTCTCAGGCAGGACAACCATCCCCTTTCCAGCAACCCCTCAGCTGCAACTCAGTTGGTGGCTCACTGGCAAGGCAGCATTCTTCTCTCCAGCACTGGTGCAGCCAGACCCCAGACTGCAGCTCAGATTCAGAAGACACTGAGAGCTCCTGCCCCAAGAAGGTAAGACCTTCTACTGCTCCTCACTTCTCTGAATCTGAAAAGAATTCACTATTGAAATCTGTAATTGTGCCTGAGCTAGCTACTGTCTTAAAGGATGCTTTGACAGCAGCCAGACAAAGTATAACATCTGTGGCACAGGTTAGGTCCCATTCAGTAAAGCATCCCAGGGTACCAGTTACAGAAGTTCCAGTGGCTCCTTTAGAAGCATCTGGGAGCAGTTCCCAGACTTTTGAGTCTGACCATATGGACAGCTTAAAAGGTCAAACAGCTTTTGGGAAGGAGAAACCTGAGCTTGACGAGGCCTCCTTGGAGGTTGAGTCAGCCCATGAAGATGGGGAAGTGGCATCTGAGTCCCCTACAGAAGATAAAGAAGGACCAGATCCTCTGCGTAAATTTGACATGGAGAATCAGAATTATCTGTTCAAACACATAAAGAGGGTGTTAATGCTAAAATCGTCCAAATCTGAGTGTGCTTCAGAAGAACTGCTTATCCCCTCTGAAGAAGGCAAGATAGATAATGCACTTCCTATTCATTCAGCTGTGGAAGATCTTGTCTGCAGGATTTGGGGTAATCCTGAGGCCAAGCATGAAGCCCCAGCAGTACTACATAAACTCTATCCTTTTCCAGGGGATAAAGCTGCTTTGTGGGGGACCTTGCCTGAGGTAGACAGAGCATTGGTTACTGGTGATTCTGTACTGTCAGTGCCTGATAATAGAGATCCGCTCCCTAAAGATCCTACTGACAAAAAGATCGAGGAAGCAATTAAAAGATCTTTCAAGCTAGTTGCAGCTCAGCTTGGAGTATCTATCTACTGCACTTATGCTTCTAAGGCTTTACTTATATGGCTGGAGGAAGAACAAGCCAAATTCAAAAAGAAACGGTTCCCATCTGCTACCATGCAGAGGAAACGCAGGCTATGTAAAATTGCAGCTAATTTTATCCATGATGCAGCTGAGGATTCTCTTAGACTCACTGTTAAAAATATGGCATGCCTCACTGTAGCCTGGAGAGCTATATGGTTGCGTCCTTGGACCTCATTGCTAGATCTAAAATGTAAACTGCTGTCTTTGCCATACACAGGGGGCAAGCTATTTGGTGAATCCTTAGTCCAGATCATGAAGGATTTCTCAGAACACAAATACTCCTTACATCAGATGAAAAAAAAGAGCTCTGTTGGAAGCTGTTCCTTTTCTTATCCTCACAAGTGTCTGAGCTCCTTGCGTTCTCCTCCAAAGTTCAAAGGAGGGAAGGGAAAGTATAAGGTCTCACAGTCATTCCATGCCAAGTACAAAAAGACATCTTACTCTCAGAGAGACACCAGACCATCAAGAGGAACTTTCTAAGAGCATAGACTTGCTTCCTACTTTCTCGGGAACTGAGAAGAGTGAAAGATGGAAATGTTTCAATATTTCTGGACAAGTAAGCCCAGTCCTCAGAAAATTAGTTGTTTCAAAATAAAATTAAAACTATTAAGTTGCTTAGATCTTGATGAGTAATTAATACATTCTAGAGAAATGACAGCTCTTAATTTTAGGGGAGGTTTTTTCACATTCCATGTCTAGGCTTCTCAGTGGTCTTTGGATGGCTTGGATTTGTTTGAAGTTTTGCACTCCTCAGCTTCATCTAAGAGCATCCCTTCTGCAGGACCAGCCAACATCAGATTTTTCTGCCATATCAAACTAAATAAGGAAATAATGGTTTAGGAAATGCAGATGTTTCAAGAACCATGGAATGACTGTGTACACTATGTTCCTGTGACTGGATTCCTTCACTTTCACATAATAAGGGAAAACAGTGCCTCTGTAGCAAACTGCAATGAGATAGTAAATTGTGGACAGTCAATGCTTACACCAAGCAACTGCAAGAAACAGAATAAGTAAGATAGATGTATATTTATTTAAATTAAAATAAAAGATTATACAGAGCTCCTGTTCAGGTCTATACATCAGCCTAATTTCCCTCCTGGTCCCTAAATTGAGAGAAATTAAGCAGTTATAACAGCTACAGACCTATGGGTTTATAGGTAGGGAGAGACTGGAAGCTTGCATTTTTTAGTTAACTACAAGGCCAGGACAAAGTTGCAGCAGTCTGCAGAATGTTCTTAGGAAGACAAAACAGGACAAGGCAACTCCAATAGTAGGACTGCTAGTGTGGTAACAAAGGATGTTTGCACGTTTTTTTGAATTATTTTGCCTCTTTTCTTTAACATTTTGACACACACAGTATCTTTCCTAGAAATTCTTGGAAATGCTACAAGAGACTTTCTGGCAGAGAGTTTTGAGATTGCTAGATAATGTATCACTCTTCCTTCTTGTTCTGGGTTGATTAACAATGAGAATATGGTTTGTAACTACAACTATTTTTTTCTCATGTACTTAAGTTTTAGTGCAGGTTGGGTGTGTTTCCAAAGAGACCTAGCCATGATTTGTGCCTCAGCACTGTAATTCTAAGCTTGGTCCCTTCTAGCACAAGGGATTATCTCAGTGGACTGCCTGAAAAACTTAATAGTCCAATTGGATTTGGCACTAGTCTTGCTGTGTTCTAAATTACACACATGTGCTTTTTTTGACAGTTCTTATTTTAATTATTGAGTATCTGTATGATTGCTTTTTAAATCAGTACTTGATTTCCCTTCGTATAATTTTCTACCAGAAATAGAAAGGGTGGAAAGTTGGTTAAATTTCTCTCAAGCAGATTTTTCTTTAAAATTTTCACAAGGAGCAAGTCAGGTTCTTTGACTAACAACATTTTTTTCAACACATCGCCATTTAAACTAGAGCTTAACCTCCCAGTTTTTCCAGCTTCTACCAGGATTGAAGATTGAGTATTACAGAGATGTTAAAGAAAAACTACTCAGAAGACTACTATAGATGTGCTTAAGTCTTAGCTAAATAAGAAATAGTAAAATGGCTTGATATCTGGATTGATACATGTGCATAAGTCTATAGGGCAAGCATTTGTCACCTGCACAGTGCTAACAAGTTAGAAGTGTGAACAGAAACCTGTTAAGTGTTAGGGCAGAGATTGCCCTGGAGTGTGCAGGGAAGCACTAGTGAAAGGTACTTCTGTGGCTTTCCGTGACTGCTTATACTGCAACATTTCTGGGCTATTGACCTGAGGGCACAGAAAAAGGAATTTACTGCCAACAGTTTTCATCTGCATCCTCTTTCTGCGTTCCATAGCTCAGGATGTTTTATCCATTTTGTTTGGTTTATGTTGCCTTTGATATGACAGTTATGTTATAAGGAAAAGTAGTATATTGCTAACTGTATATTGAGTCTTTTTGCATGTCCATGAATGTGGCAAAGTTTAGTGGGAACTAGTTGCCTGCTGGAGTGCAGAGGCATCGTAAAACTGTCTTCCCCATTCTGACTGGTTGCTGCATGTACCCATATCTAAGGAAGAAAAATTGAAAAGTTGAAAGAAGAAAGGAGATTTCAAGGTACATATTTCTCTCAATAACTGATGAGCTTGTGAAATGGAAGTACTTTTTTAAAAAAATAAATTTGTACTTTGCACTTATATTATTGTTACCTTTGTACTTCTTGTCTCTCTTAACAATTAGATGCAAGTTTGATATTGTTCATTACACTAAAAAGAAAAAGAAACATGTATTCATATATTAGCAGCGATTCATGAATAATATTTAAGTCATGCTTTTAGAGTATGCTTTAATATTAAATACTGTTCTTATTAAAAGGCCAAGAAGTGTATGTGGTACATGTCAGTACTTATCAAAATGATTGGTACATATGAGTCTTCACTGAGAAACTTTCATCCTTAAAAAGCTACTAGTATGGAATTTATTTATACAATAAAAAATAGTAAAAGTATCACTACACTTAACTTCCATGGCTGTCTGATCTAAATATGGAATTCATACCCATTCTCACATCTTGTTTGTTTGGTTCCCTTCCAGTCTTGTTTTCTCACTACTAATTGTATGCACTGCATACATGACACTTTTCAAAAACTTCTTCAGTTTCCCACTGTAATTTTAGTCAACCCAATTTGCACTTTATTTTTTATATCACAATATTACATTAGGTAAGTATAAAAATCAGCAAGAAAAACCACAAACAGAAACTAAAAGAAATTATTTTTTATCCTGATTGCATTTTGGAATAGTTTTACGAACAACTGTAAGCAAGATTGGCAAATCTTGAAGGTACCATATCAAAATGTATTGCTTTAACATGTTTTTGCAATATAATGTTATATATTCTACAGCCTAAAGTGTTCTATAGCTATGTGGGCACCCATATTCATAATGCAATTCAGCAACTTTTGCAGTTTGTTTCTTGGCAGCAAACAGGTAATATATTCATTTCCCCAGAGCACCAGAGCACCTTCTCTGTTTTGCACCCCCAGGGTAACAAAAGTACTGTCCAAAACATTGATGTCTTCACTTATTTCTCCCTCTCCTGTTTGTTAGGATTTTTTCCTCTTTCTTCCTCAATTTCTTTTTTTTCCACCCAAAACATTGTATTCATCTAATACAAGAGTCATAATCCAGTTTGATAAAGAATAAATAGTACCATGGCATATGTTTCCTTTTCCTGAATGCAGAGTGGAAAGAACCCTGGGTAATTCCACTTGTTTTTCTGCCAGAGTCTTGGCAAAACCTCTCTCTGGACTTGTGTAGTGCAACAAGGGAAAGAAACCCCCAGGTTCACATTTGATTTTTGCATCTGCTGTGACTGTGCTCTCTGAGCAGTGCCCACCTCTATGCAGATACACTCCTGGGTAAATCTGCAGGCTTGTTTGTTTTTAATTATAGAGACAGTAGATTCCACATCCTTATTAAAATATAGAAAAATCACAGACACAGTGCAAACAACTGTGTAAGTATTTCTTCATTATTTGCCTTATTATTAAACTTTGTTTGCAAAAATATAAACAAGAAAACCAAAAGAGCAACACAAAGCAGAAGTTCCCATACTCAAATTTATCTAAATTATAAAGGAAAATCAAGCTTTTTATTGGATTAAACACAAAAATGTGGGTACTTTTAATACAGTGTATATAATAATGGTGTATTATTTATTTAATGTCTGTTTCAGCCTAGTGAATTACACTGGCTGGGGTCACACTGGATAGGGTCATACTTTAGAATATTTGCACAGAAATTCATAAGGAAGTGGAATATGATAGAAATGCAGTTTTAATTTATTTTCATTCCTGCATATTATGATGTAATAATTATGAAGTTATTGACCGAAAATTAAACAAAAAATCATACATCAATGTCTTTTCTTTAATAGTCTTACCCAGAAAGCAGATTTGCTTTGAGAGAAGGACTGGTTACTATTTCAAAGTGAGGGTCTGGTCTTCATTTGACTTGTATAGCCTGTTTTAATAACTCCTAATACCCTCTGATGAGGGCAATGGGGAAACGATTTTTTGTGTGAGTATTAAATATTCAATTCCATTTTCAGCCTTTTAAATATAGCGTCCGTCCTAAATGAACTCTCTTCAGTAATGTCTCTGTAATCTGTTTGTGTTTACAGTGTTATAAACAGTTTCACTTTGCTGCTGGATTCTTGATATTTTGGAGTATAGTTGTTTAGATGTTGCTGGCCTGTATGTTTGCAGCACCAGTGAGCACAGAAGATCAATCACACAATATTTTTCCTTGTGGCTTGTACCCACCAATAACTAAAAAGTCAAGCCTGATACTGTCAAGTTCAGACATCTTGCCTTTGTGTGTGCTTTGAGCATGAAGGTTTCATTACGTGTATAGAAAAGAGATATTTCTACCACTTCTTTTCTGATGTATACACAGAATGATAAAATCTCTGGTATGCTTTTTCTGTAAGTATATACATATTAGAGACATCCTTCTTTTAGAATGTGATCTTCCAAAGCCAAAAAAAGGTGATGAGATAAGGAGAAGCAGCTTGATGGAAAATAGGTGTAATGGTTTTCTAGCAGTAGTTTCTCAACAAGGCTTTTGTTAGGCAACAGTATGATCTGTGTGACTTTGTACATGCTATGTAACATATATATTACATCCATATAAATATATATGGTTTCTGCAGATGTATATATATATATATATATGTATATATATGTATATATATATGGTTTCTCTGGGTGTTCAAAGATATTAATTAGGAAAAAAAGAAAATGGCTTATTTGAAGAACTAAGGTATTGATTTTTAGGAATTAGAGGGTTAAAAGAATTTGTGGAATATATAGGCATCTAATATTCTGGAAATCATAAAATTTATTTTCATTTCTTTGATATTTTATACATTTTTCTTTATATTTCCAGAAGTTGTGAGTCTAAATAAAAATCCCAAACTACTTACTTTTATTGCACACTATATGCAAATAAAGTCACATATTCTGTTTAAGACAAGGTAAATAATGGGACCCAAAAGTGCAACTGGCAGTAGTGGTTTTTAATTCAAAATGCTTTGGAGCCGCTGCTGAAATCTTCATCTTGAAACTGAAGTGCAATGTAAAGGATTCTGAAAACAGCCCAACTACATCTATTTCATGAAATACAAACCTACCACAGCTGCAAATTTATTTGAGGATGCTGATGGTGCTGCAGCTTTTCCACTGACAAGGAAAGACCACATTACTTCGCTACAGAAATCTCTTCTCCCTACCTTTCTTTCCTTTTTCTGTTGTCCTCCAAATCAGTGTCAGAATGTTATCAGTTATGGAGTAGGGTAGAGAGGTAGATCTGATAAGAAATGAAAAAGAATAAGGATGCACTCAACTCCTCAATTCTAGCGACTGTAAGCTAAATTGTTGCTTTACCTGTAATACAGTAAATATTTTAACAATTTTAAGAGCAACTTACTATTGATAAAATACTGATCACTATCAGGATATGGACTTTGCTTTTCTTCTTAGGCTATTTTCATTTGTTTCTTCTGCACCCTTTTAATGGAATATGTAGGTCTCTTGAAAGGTAAGGTTGAAAGTTGCAAGTCTGGCCTGCATTATGTAACAAATTATTTCAAAATGCAGCACTTTTATTTTCTTTATACTAGTAAAGAAAATCGGTATACTTCATTTAACCAAATTCATTCTCCATTGATGTTCAAGGAGTCAAAGAAATTAAGAAGTTTAACAGACTAACTTCATGGCACATCATAAGCTTGCTACTTGGGAGAACAAACAAATTATTTTTTTTATAACTTTACAACCCACGTTTTAATGCTTGCAGTTCCATCTGAGTGGCTTCCAAGCCAAGGATCCAGGTCTTGTCATTGAAAAGTCATGCACGATGGGGAGACAAAAAAAAAACCCACAACCCCCCCTCCCTCCACTGAAGACATTCTCTGTTTAAACCATTCCTATGCCATGTTTTCATGTGAACTGCATCATATTGATTTTTCTCTACAATGTGATGTGAGTTTACTAAAGGATTATTGGGCTGCACACATGCTTTTCATAAACTCAGCATGCATGGCTGATTTTGTCTTAATAAATAATACATCCGTTAATTCCATGTTTGTTTGTTTGTGTCTCCAGTGATGCAGAGGACCATAAACCTCTAAAAAAGGGAAGCCGGACACCTTCAGACAGAACTGTGAAAAAAGAAGACAGTGATGATAGTTTAGTTGACTATGGAGAAGGTGTAAATGGTCAGTTTAATGAGGATGGCTCCTTTATTGGACAATATAGTGGAAAAAAAGAGAAAGAACCTGCAGAAGGAAATGAAAGCTCTGAGGCTCCTTCTCCTGTAAATGCCATGAATTCATTTGTGTAACCACAGAACTCAATCCCCTTGTATCTTCAGTTTGTTTAAAGCACTTGCACATCTTCCTTCTCATACTATGAACACGCAGGTAATGGAGCTCCTCACCACCAGGTGTTAATGCTATGAGAATATGCAGGTCAATACACAGCGTAATGGCACAGGAAATGGTATGTTAGTATGAATCAAAATACAAAATTCAAATTTTGTTCAAAACTTGGGTATTTTTACTTTTTTTCAAAGGAACTGACACAAACAATAATATCAACTTGTAATTTTGTTTCTTGTTGAAAATACAGTATAATGCATGGGAAAAGAAAAGCTACACAATTCACAGGTAATCTTGTCTACACTATAAAAACATGGTTTGACAATTTGTTACACAGTCCTCCGCTGAATCCCTGGATATGAATTTCATTCCCATTGTCAAAGTGTTATAGTAGTATTATATAGAACTTCAATGTCTTTGTGGACATTGTTGTGAAATTGGTGACTTAATGTCTAGCTATCATGTCTTTTTGCAAGACAGTTAGGAACAATATGTACAGTATATAATTGCTAAATGATTTAAGTATGACACTTGCATTTGCTGATGCTTAATGAGACCCTATTATCTGCTCTTTGCTCCTATTACTTTATAGCCTTTTTAATCTATCAAGTATTACAGCAGTACAGTGTTCTATTTTTACATCAAAACACGTTGAATTGATTTTAGGGCATAAAAGATACGCATTGCAATGCATTTTGGAATTTGTACAGTCACTGAAAGTAAAACTTCGAAAATGAGAGAAAATATTCCAGAAGACACAGGGCAGAGTACATTCAGTGCCTTTTTACAACATGCATTCCGTAATGCGCTGCACTACTCAATCACTTGGTGCAGTAAACTGTGATTAGCGGACTACTGTCATTGCCAAATAAAGGAAAAATGTAAAAAAAAAATAACGTGTTATGAAATTGTTGTGCTAAAAATGGAAAGTTTAAAATATTTTAAATTACACAAAGAAGAGCATGTGTTTTTTTCCCCTTTAAAATAAAATAAATGCTTTCTACACAGTTACAGCACAACGTTTTCATGGCCTTAGAATATTTACAACAAAAGTAAAAACAACCAAAAAAAACACCTCAGAACACAAACAGAGTTAAATTATTTACTAACACAGCAAGGTATAAGCTCTTGTAAAATAAATTGTTAAAAACCCGAGCCAGCTGACTGCACCGGCGAGAGCACATTTCCCTCTGTGTCCCAGCCTTATCAGTGTGGCAGCTTTGCAGTTATCTATACCCTGAAGCAGTGTGGGGGTTACCGCTCGGAACCACGGGATTCAATCTGACAAGTGTGAATATGGTTTATTTGTAAAGGATTACCCTTATTGGTTAAAAAATTATTTTATCGCATACTATATCAATCAAATGTTTACCTCCAAATATAAATTTTTATAACAACCTATGGTTGAAGGAATGCTCAGTTTCATTTGCCAATAAATTGGTTTTTCATAACTTGCATCAAGTTTAATTTTAAGTAAGCTTTTTATATGTAGATATTTTGTTGAATTTGTAAATACACTTAAAGCGTAGATGCTATATGCTTCTAGGTGTTACAGACAAATAAACCAAGAAAGCTTATGTTGTACTGGGTAAGAAGTACTATAGCCAATGGTGTGCATGGTATTTTAAAGCATCTACTTTTTTTTTTTTTTGCTGTGAAAACAGAATAGTGAACTGTTCTTCTCATTTACTGCAGATTCCTAATTGAACCACTCAGAGCTTTTGCCAGTGCATTACATTAGCCCATAAAACACCTCGCAGCTTTTATGTATATATTGTAGGTAAAGCACAACTGAAGTAATCCCAAATGTAAGCCAGCTGTAATAAGCTTCTTTCACACCTTTGAGTTTTCCATTGATCAGTTTTCTTAATGGGAACCTAAATATGAAATTAGTTATATGAACATTAATTACAAAGCACAAAGAGAACATTTCTTAACAGGATTTGCCAACGTTTTTGGTAAAAGAGAAATATAATTTTGCTCTTATTTAATTGTAGATGCTGAATTATCTGTGCATGTGGGGGTAAACATACAGGCTCACTTCTGTAATAGTGCAACAGATTTTGTATTAAAAATAAATGTGATTTTAAAATTTCACTGTTTGTTCTGTTTACACTAGCAGTAAAAATCACAGCGGATTCATCCTGTAGTTAAAAATTCAAAGTGGAAAACCAGCATGAAACAAGTCTGTCAGAGGTTGTTCCCTTGACGTTACAGAACTTCCTTTAATGCAACCAAATTATTTACAGAAAGTTGCATACCTTTATACGGTACCATTTGAAAAAATATAAATTTGTCTGACCATTTCCTGTTGAAATTTCCTGCTGTTTACATTTTACTTCCATAGATGCTTTTGTTATTTATTTAGTCATATTTCTGCAAAGAAAAAAAATTAAACAGTCATGTTCCATACCTGCAAGAGTGAATAAGAGAAAGTAAGAATGCTGATTTGAAATTAAGAGCCCTCAGATAGAATCCCAAAAAAGGATTTTGTGTCCTAAAGGAATTGTCAGACGTACAAATTTCTGGGCATCTGTTTTTAAACAGTATATGAAGTGAGGAATTTTTAAAATATTTTATTTTACAGTGCACAAAATCCATTGCAATGCTCTTTTCATATCTTGTCTATTCTGTGTGTGAATGGAAACAGACTGGGCAGGAGGGCAGCTGTTCTGCATAGAAGACTGCAGGAGAGCCATGGATTCCAAGAGATACAGGTGCTTCAGGAGATGAATCCAAAAGTTGATGATGCTTGAAGGAGGAATCTTATCACTGAATCAGAAGCCATTCTGTCAGCCCTTCTATATGTAATTGGAAACTCCTGGATATTCCAGCTCCTGTCATCTGCACAGTCTCAGATCTGACACTTCTATCTTCAGATACTGGGCTGCCTGGTTTTTTGTACAGGTATCTGTTGATTTTTCCAGCAATGTGCCTTGACTGGGAAATATGAAATGCAGCTGTTTATGTTTCAGTTAAAGAATAATTCCTGAAAAGAAGGGTCTGAGTTCCCTAGGCTTAGCTGGGAAAAAACAGATTTCATATGGTAACAATTTTTGGAGACACAAGTTATTTGTGCATGTTCCCCAAAGTGTACTACTACATATAGTTCCTACATTTTCCTTTTAGTGATACACATTTGCTTTTGGTTTTATTCTCACTGAAGTGATTGTATGAATCCAGAGGGAATTAAAGAGGATACCCCAATGGTAATTTTTCTTGTAATCTATTCTTGCATTGTTCCTAGGAAAATACAATTTCCTCATGTAGCTGAGGCAAGTGGCAAAATATTTGGGAACCAAATTGTCTTTGTATGTTGTCTGGCCCATTTTAAAACAGAACCTATAGAAATAGGTTAGTATTATATATTATTATATAGAAATATTGTCTACAGTATGGAAGAGTTTTCTTCTCTGAAAGAAGAAATGGGGAGAAAAGCAGAAAGAGGATGAGATTCAAATAATTTCTGAAAAGCAATTGTCCTTTGCTGTGTTTCTGTCCCACTCCCTCTCTCAGTCTTCCCCCTTCTACCTTAGGAAAGAATTTTTCACAGAGTTGGCAGAAGCAGCAACTGGTTCCATGGGAAGATGGAAATAACTACTGGAATGTGCTACTTGTAGGAATCTACCACCAAATTATGCCCTTGAGCTGGAAATAAATCCAACTGGCCATCATGTTTTAGTCTCTGAAGGGATCTCTGGCTCTTTGTACACAAGAAGTGGAAACTTTAGACCAAACTGTCAAGATAAATACACATCAGCAGAACTTTGACAGACAGTAGATGTGATCCATTGTGACTCTAAGCAAGGAGGAAAATGGTGGTCCTTGTGATCTTATGAATTTTGGCAGCAAAAATATACACAAAGTTCCTGTGGTAACATGAAGATAAGCTGATGATAAATTCAGATCACATTTAATATCTGAAGGATGGATCCTTTATTTGGAGTTGGAGAAGTTTGCCCAACTGTGAGTGTGGCAGCACTGGCTTTGTCTCCCCAGGGAAGCCCTGTGGGATAAAATTGAAGTTATCTGACAAGTAATGGGTTTGCATATGTTTAGGTTGGAGAGGGTCAGGGCAAGAGACAGCTCCTGTCA